CCTATAATTACAAATTAATAATAAATAAATGATAAACTCATTACACCTGTCTGTCTTTACACTCATCCGTCGGTCTTAAGACTAGGGCTGAACGCTTACGCTGATGCTTCCGTGTCAGCACACAGACATCAGACATCAGATAAACACAGTCTGTGGCCACCTTCTAATTAGCACAGCCAATAGCCTATAGCAGGGCAATTGCTCAAATCATTTATTAATTTATTAAAAGCAGTCTTAAGTCACTGGGTTATATTTGTAGCAATAGCCAACAATACATTGTATGGGTCAAAATTATAAATTTTTCTTTTAAGCCAAAAATCATTAGGATATTAAGTAAAGATCATGTTCCATGAAGATATTTAGTAAATTTCTTACTGTAAATATATCAGAACTTAATTTTTGATTAGTAATATGCATTGCTAAGAACTTCATTTGGACAACTTTAAAGATGATTTTCTCAATATTTAGATTTTTTTGCACCCTCAGATTCCAGATTTTCAAATAGTTGTATCTCAGCCAAATATTGTCATATCATAACAAACCACACATCAATGGAAAGATTATTTATTCAGCGTATAAATCTTTATTTCACAAAATTAACCCTTATGACTGGTTTTGTGCTCCAGGGTCACATGTGTGATTGCAGTGTTACTGAATGAGCATTTTAAACTGATGTGCTCTTTGTGTCGACGCTGTTACTTTTAATATAATAATATGAGGATTTACAAAAAGACCACAACACTTTGTATTTTTAAGGCTCTGGACTCTTTAGGAACTCTCTCTGGAGGACATCTGCTTTACTTATATTAATGCTTAAATGTGTAAATTAGTTAAAAATAAGTAAACTGATTTATTGTTTATTTTGGCAAATCTGCTTCTTCCACACAGAAATTAATGTTCAGTGAAGCCCCTCACAACAATCACACATTCATCAATTCACCAATAAATGCTGGAATATCCCCATCAGTTAACAAGTGAAGACGAGCATCTAATCATCAGGAAGAGCTGAAATCTGCAAAGACTGAGTTTATTAAAGAGGACAGAGAGAAGATGAGCGATCCAGAACCCTGCAGAATCAAACACACTGAAGATACTGAAGAACAAACAGGTTGGTCTTCATTCTTCTTCATTAATAATGCTGACGATTATACAGTTTCAAGTAGTTTTAGATTCTGTTACTTGTAATTGGAAATATCTTATAATAGCTCTGCAGTAATATAGCTAAATAATCGGTGTTGCCAAGTCTCCGGTTTTCCCGTGGAACTGGGCTACTTTAACACTGTTGCTGCAGTTTGCTTTTCATGTCCGCGGGTTGAAGCGACCCCAATAACGGGATATTTAGCCCCTGGAATGCGAATTTTTCTGGAGGATCCCCAGCGAAAAACATGTATTTTACCGCCCGGAATGCGATTCTTACCGGGGAACCCCCCTCGAAATGCGATTGGGTAGTTTTGAGTAGCAATTTGGCGTTTTTTGTTGAGAAAACCTGGCAAACCTGTAAATAATCAAATAATAAGGGACACTTTCTGTAAACTGGGTACTTTTATTTGCAACAAAATTAATTGTTAGATAATTGTGTTGTTGATCAAACACATTTAAAAGTTCTTCCTACAGAAACATGGGATATGTGCCTATAATGTTTTAAAAATCATAATTTGAAGATCAATATACCTCATTAATGGAAACGTACATATACATATATATATATAAAATGTACTAGATGTATTTATAAAACTTCATCAAAATTATCAAAATATTGTATAGCACTTGTCTACTTTCCGCTGTTACATCAGGGTTCAATTTGATGTCTTTTCACTTTTTAATGAGTTACTGACAAAGGAACTGTTTTTGCTTTTATTTCAGAGTTGACTGAAGAAAATGAGGACAATGAAGAATTGAGTAAAGTTGAGGAGAAAAATCACTTCAGAACTGGAAAAAAACCTTTGAGCTGCTCTCAAACTCAGAAAGTTTTAAAGAAAAGAAGAGCCAAGAAATCTTTCACCTGCACTCAGTGTGGAAAGAGATGGACATGCAAATATAGTCTTGATGTTCACGTAAGAATTCATACTGGAGAGAAACCTTATAAGTGTTCACACTGTGACAAGAGATTCAGTCAGTCAGGAGACCTAAAAACACATGAGATGATCCACACTGGAGAGAAACCGCACACATGTGATCAGTGCGGGAAGAGTTTCGCACGAAAAGGAGATTTTACGGGGCATATGAGAGTTCATTCTGGAGAGAAACCTTACACTTGTGATCAGTGCGGGAAGAGATTCTCACAATCAGCACTTCTTAAGAAACACATGAACATCCACACTGGAGAGAAGCGGCACACATGTGATCAATGCGGCAAAACATTTTTGTGGGTTTCAGTCCTGAAGCAGCACCTGAGAGTTCATACAAAGGAGAAGCCACATTCATGTCATTTATGTGGAAAGAGTTTTTCATTACTACAAAGTTTGAAAGAACATCAGAAAATACATTCTGCTGTGAGAGAGTACATGTGCTTTGAGTGTGAGAAGACTTTTACTTCAGCGAGCCGTTTAAAACAACATGAGAGGATTCACACTGGAGAGAAACCTTACAAGTGTTCACACTGTGACAAGAGATTCAGTCAGTCAGGAGCCCTGAAAACACATGAGAGGATCCACACTGGAGAGAAACTGTTCAAGTGTTCACAGTGTGACAAGAGATTCATTCAGTCATCAACTCTGAAAACACATGAGAGGATCCACACTGGAGAGAAACCATATCAATGCACTGCATGTGGGAAGCATTTCAATCAATCTTCTGCTCTACACAGACATACAAAAAACTATCACAGTAAGTAGATCATCTTCAGATCTTTCAGACCTGATGCTGCCTCCTCACCAAATGTGACACAATAATGCATCAAGCAATAAAATATTATCTGGATAAATCTGTCATAACAAGTGACAATGCAAAGAGACATTATCTAAAGTTTTCAGTGAATAAAGTTCATCATCATCTTCAAAACCAGCAGATTCAATATCATATGATATGATATGATAGACTTTATTAATCCCACACTGGGGAAATTCACTTGTTACGGCATACTCCACAAGACCAACCACAATACAATAAACAAAGAAAACATACTAAAAACAAACAGCCATACTACACAATATTGTTATTGCAATTAAACAGTCTAACTGCTGTTGGAAGGAAGGACCTGCGATAGCGCTCCTTCTTACACAGTGGATGTACCAGTCTATTGCTGAAGGAACTACTCGAGGACAACACAAACTCATGCAAAGGGTGAGAGATGTTATTGATAATGGACTTCAACTTAGACAGCATTCACCTCTCCCCCCCCTCCTCGATGGTATCCAAAGGACATTCCAGAATAGAACTGGCCCTTTTATCCAGTTTATTAAGCCCCTTCCTGTCCCTTTCTGAACTTCCTGCTCCACAACTGACGACTGCATAAAAAAATCACAGAGACCACTGCAGTGTCATAAAAAGACGTTGACAGTGGCCTACACACTCCCAAGGACCTCAGTCTCCACAGCAAATGAAGATGAGTTTGCCCCTTCCTATACAGAGCCTCTGTATTGTTGGACCAGTCCAATTTATTATTAAGATAAACACCTACAGTGGGGCAAAAAAGTATTTAGTCAGCCACCAATTGTGCAAGTTCTCCCACTTAAAAAGATGAGAGAGGCCCCCCCACTGTAAGTACTTATAAGTTGTCACCCTCTCAATATCCAGACATTGAATGGTCACCGATGTAATCCTTGATGCCTTCCTACGAAAGTCTATCACCATCTCCTTTGTCTTACTGGCATTAATACAAAGGTGGTTTAATGCACACTAGTCGACAAAATCAGCAATAACCCCCCGATATTCTTGATCGTCATTTTCTGATATACATCCAAACACAGCAGTATCATCCGAAAAATTCTGCAGGTGACAGCTGGCTTTGTTGTATCTGAAGTCGGAAGTATACAGTGTGAAAAGAAACGGAGCAAGCACCGTCCCCTGTGGGACCCCCGTACTGCAGACCACCATATCAGACACGCAGTTCTGTAACCTCACACACTGTGGTCTATCCGTGAGGTAATTGATGATCCATGCAACCAGATGACAATCAGCTCCAGCTCGCAATAGCTTCTCCTCAAGAAACGATGGTCGTATAGTATTAAAAGCACTGGACAGATCAAAAAACATGTTCCTCGCAGTGCTCCCTGCATCCTCCAGATGTAGATAGGATCTATGCAATAAGTAGATCACAGCATCATCCACCCCGATGCCCAATTGATAGGCGAATTGCAAGGGATCAAGCTCTGAGCCTACTAGGGATCGCAGGCAATTCAAAATGATCCTTTACATGGTCTTCATAAGGTGAGAGGTTAAAACTACCGGTCTAAAATGGCCAGGCTCCTTGGGGTTTGGCATTTTTGGAACTGGAACAACACCGGAAGTCTTCCACAGGACCGGACCTCTTTCCAGACGAAGGCTCAAGTTAACTACATGCAGAACTACCTCACTGAGCTGATCTGCACAGTCTTTAAGCAATCTCCAGGTGATACCATCCGGACCTGTGGCTTTCTAGTCACTGCTGTGTGTTAAGCAGATCCTTTGCCAAAAAAAAAAAAAAAAGAGCTACCATGTTATTCTTACTGCATGCACCCAAGTGAAACATTTAGTCTCACCTGAATGTTTTCCGGTTTATTATTGTGAAGCTGCTTTCGAGCAATCTGTTCTGTGTAAACACTATATCGAGGGTTGAGAACCACAAGTGCGTAAGTGACATTTCACCAACTTTACAGGAGGGCCAAAACAAAAAGTACCATAGTTTGATCTGATTTTGTGTACTGATTTTAATCATTTATAATAAAAATGTGTACACACAATGGACGACAGTATACTTATTGAACACTATTTTAACATTTATTCCGATTTTTTTAAGTCATATGCGCCTTTTTAGCACCAATGTTTTATTCAATTTTGTGTATAAAAACATGGGCACATCTGCTGACAATATGAACAAAACATTGCATTAATGAGTTTAAAAGAAATAACAATCCATTGTGATAAAATAAAATATCACATAAAAAGCCCTTACATCAACTTAATTAGTCTGTGTGCGATTGGTAAATTGGTTTTAATTTCACAGTAGTCACTTATATTATGAGAAATATTGAAAACTTTTGTAGAATTGTGTTCTCCTGAGGAGGGGGTGTATCCCCCTTTAGGCCTGTGGGAATGTTTATCTAGCTCTAGCCAGGTGCAACCCTGGAGCACGGGAACCTAGCAACCAAAAGGCCTTTTATGTTGTTACAACTGATTTAAAGATTTCTTTGTCTTTGTTCTGGTAGTATTTAAGGGAAAGTTGCAAATCAGTCTTTGGGATTCTGTAGTCAGAAAAAAAACCCATGCAGTGTGTGAGAGTCTCTGGAGCTCAGCAGCAGAACTCTCGCTGCTGTGTGTCTCTCTGCTGTCAGGTACGATTCAAAAATGTAATTGTGTCAAACACATTGTGTGCATAAAGCACACTGTATAGTTGTTTGTACAACTACATGTGCACATAGGCTAGTTGAGTTTATTCTTTAAAAACACATGATTACTTTGCTGTAAGTGTTCTTTGAAATACTTAGGTAAAAGGTTGTTGATGCTATGCATTTTAGACCGTGTGTCTTGTGTTAAATTAGGATAACTGTTACATGTGTGACTATGTAAAATTCGTTTGTCTCCTGCATGGAACACTTGGCTATTTTCAATATAGCTACAGTAAACCATGTTGCCACGCGGATACAATATGTTTCACAATTGCATTATCCTTTCTAAATTGGCTTCTAATTGTTTCATTATGTAATTGGCATGATACAATTTTACCTGACTAATAATAAATTGTTATATTTGATTTATTCTGAACTTTTCTTGAATTAATTATGACCAGTAAATCATAGGAGGCTAATGCTACCGTAAATCTGTGTCCAGGATAGTACAAACTAAAGGCGCATGAATGAAAGGAGCAGTAGGCACTTCATCTGAAGACCTTTTGATTTCTGTCTATCACTGACTTAGCAAGATGTATGGAAGTGGCTAAATCAAGTACACTTTTTGTATGAGTGAGCAGTAGGCAACCGACAAAAAGGTATTAGTTAACTTATTACACCCTCTGACTAATATCAGACTGGCTAGTTTGCGTCCGTGAGTTTACCGCAAACCCGGGGCGCGTATCTCTGAGCGGCATTGGGTCCCTGATGAACGAATAATTGAAAGTATGGGATTTACAGAATACTCAAATATCTAAATTAATAAACAATCGATATCTGTGATCAGCTTTTGATTAGAAATATTGCCTAAATTTAATGATCACGTGAAATTGGAGTCAGATTGAAAACGGAGCTAGACAAAATGGAAACTAAGTCCTGATAAATTCAGAAGCGCAAGTAAAAGACTGAATACGCATTAAACCTTCGACCAGGCCGCTGGATTCCGCTTTTTGGGCTGGCGGGTGGATCCTTACACAGATTATTATTATCCCGATCCACTCCGTGAAAGCACGCATTTCTCATTCAAACACACCTCACCAGAAACATGACATGTCGCAATCTGTAACAATGCAGGCGAGAGCCAATGAGCATTCGAATATCCTGCCGTAAAGTTTCTTGAAGCTGCAACTTTTTAGTAATGGGAGGTTCGGATCATTTTACCGACTTGGACCTTTGAGTCTCGTTCAGCAAAATGAACAAATCTTTTTTCGAGTCATTTCGTTCATTTTAGCAAAATATAATTAAAATGTTACGTGCTACTTCCCTAATACGTCTACTACTTACGCAAACGTTGATCACACTACAAACAATACAAAACTTCTATAAGAAACAGAAAAGATTAATTCATTGTTTACCTGGGTCTTCAGTCTATGATAAGCTCACCTCACCTCTTATCTGACAAGTCTTCAGGTTTGAGTCGTTCATTCATCACATGACGTTTATGACATAAACTTAACCAATGCAGTCTGAGCCGGAAAGAGAATTGATTAGTTCATCTCTCGAGTCTTTCGCATCGTTCATTCTTACTGAAGGCGGTGACTGTGTAGTTCTGACGTCAACTTTTTATGGAAATCACAACGGTTCACGAAAAAATCACAGCTACTTTATACAGGCTGTGTGCAGTTTACTGTGGACTGACTGTTTTGAAACTTATATGGTAGTTAAATAGCCCCTAGACCCCAGTTATCGTGAAAAAAGCCAAGCAATTTCAGTTTTGACAATATGGGACCTTTACTAGACTTTTCACCCATTTCCTCCATTTCTGCAGTTATCTTTCACTAGTTGTGATGTAATTGCAGTGGGAGGAGCTTCACTGATGGTGATGATGATGTAATTGCAGTGAGAGGCGCTTCACTGATGATGATGTAATTGCAGTGGGAGGAGCTTCACTGATGATGATGTAATTGCAGTGGGAGGGTCTTCACTGATGATGATGTGATTGCAGTGGAAGGAGCATCACTGATGATGATGTAATTGCAGTGGGAGGAGCTTCACTGATGATGATGTAATTGCAGTGGGAGGAGCTTCACTGATGATGATGTAATTGCTGTGGGAGGAGCTGATCTGCCAAAATCTAAAATATATAAGTTTTTAATATATCTGTTACTGGATCCAGATTTACAAATTTTGTGTCTGCAGTCTGCATCAAATTGAATTT